CTGCAGAGTATCTGTATATATACAGTACATTGCAATTGTATATACAAATGTACATTACCTGAAAAATATTTTAGAGATGAATGGACCGATTGAGATTGCCCTTTGGATGATCCTGTTGTACGCCCAATGGACACAGACCGGAATGGACACAGATCCCGCGAGTTCGCGGGCGCCATCGAAGCGGGATCGGTTGGGATGGGGTCCAGCTGGAGTGGATGAAGCCCGACTCAAACAATGCGCACAGATCCGTGAGAGCCTTTGCAAAGCGCAAGCTAAACAAAGTTATTCTAGGCCGGAGCCACCCGGTGGTGATCCTCTAGGGCAGCTTGTTGGGAATCCCGAGCAGGGCCTCGGGGATCTCTTTTCTGCATAGGTGTGTGCGCTGTGGGCGGCTTAACCCGCGCCAGGTTGTCGTCCCAAAACACAACAAACTCGAGACTCACGGTCCAATTTACCCAATGGATCCACATACCTTCTCAGAAGGAGTCTGGTATGACTATAGGCTGTCTTGAAAGGGTCCAATTGCTAAGGTGGCAGTAGATCCAGATGGTTAGACACTCGCTTCAGAACAAACATCACAGTCACGTTCTGGACACCTCGAGACCCACCACGACCCACACGACGTTGTGCTTGCATGCTGGCAACAGCGACGTCTGATGTCGACGTCTGGTAGCGCGTGCACCCGCAAGCTTTCTTGTGAGGTGACTAGAGTGACTAGAAGGCTCCCAAAATGGTCACTAGAAAAGCGATGGCCTCCAAGCTTTCTTGCGAAGAAGAGATCGTCCGCCCGACGCGAAGGACACGACCGACCCGACCGACACGAAGGACCGAGTTCAGTTCGTGCCTGACATCCTCGACTTCGCCCTGTCAAGGGATGCCACGCACGTCACATTGGCACATGGGCAAGCTAGTCTGTCTGTGTTTAGTGGGAATCAAGCAGTGAGATAGTGGGAACCAGGCAGTGAGATAGTGGGAACCAGGCAGTGAGATAGTGGGAATCAGGCAATGAGATAGTGGGATGAGGCAGTGAGAATTGTTCCTTCTAAATTGTTCAAATACATGTTGATCACCCCTAGCCTAGGGCTCCTGTCCCATATCCGAGAAGAAGGCGGGCACAGACCCCTCTAGCACCCACCCCAGTGGCAACCTTTTCAGGAGGTAGGACAGGAGCCCTAAGGTACAACAAACAATCTAAAGCTGTTACGTATTGCAAGCCTCAGATGTTGCTTAGAACGCCCACCAAAAATAGGGACCTCTGACCTCTTGAATCCTCCAGGACTCTCCACCGGTCCATACCAATTACAAAACATCAATGAAACCGGTCCATAGAGAATAAAAGACAATATATACCTTCGATGTACCTTGTTATGCAATTCAATGAATTCAAGGAGTATGATTTCTCAATCAATATTTATGTTTACTCTTTTGAATTCACTTATAACTTATACTCTGTTCTGTGGCCGTGAAACAAAAGTCATTCCACTCGTCACCCCACTCGGAAAACACCTCCGTCAGCAGACCAGCGTCACCGCCGCCCCGATTGGCTCGCCCGACTAACGCGTCTGGAGCCGCCGGGGAGCGGGAAGTGGTCGTGAAGCCGTTGAAGTCCCATGCGAGACACGACCCATACGACTTACTGTACGAGGAGCCCAACAAAATGTTTGAAAATGGTCGAGGAGTCCGGGAAGTTTGTAGGTTCTTGTTTGGGGGAGCCCGCTCGCAGCTGTCTCTTCACAGTTATGGAGAGGGAATGCTGTGAAGGTCCGAAGCGAGACTGTGCTGGGTTCCTTGTGACGCCCGGCGTAGAGGGAGCCCATGAGAGAGAATTGGTCCTGTCCACATGACCTAGAGTGGATCCTGGAACAGTAAAGTGTTTGGGCCATTATGGCCTTTTAGCTGAATCCCCAGTACTAGTGTCTACCAAATACTATACTCTTCAGTTCCAGTCGAGTTCAACCTCTAATGTCGGCGCCCCAGATGTCGCACGGGGGACACCCTTAGGAAGTTGCAACAGTTCCTCGCTCCTCAAAAAGAGCCATGTTGCACGCACGCACCCGCACGCACAGAGCCGTTTATCGATTCTAATCGACGGTCAGAGCCGGTCCTCTCTTCAGCCCGTGCAATTGGACTGGCTTTGCGAGGCAAGCGGGTGGCTCCGGAAAACATTGTGCGGAGTCGTTCTTGGTAATGTCATGTTAAGCGACTAAAACGCATGAAGGTTGACTTTCTTCCGAGAGCATAACAGCCTCAGGCAGATGCAGATTCAACAGGATCTAAGAGAACCCCAAAAAACCGTTGAAGAATGTTGAATATATCACATATCTTCTTACCTTTATATGTTTCTATTGGTCTAATTAGCCCTTGGTCTAAGTATTTGAATATATATATATATACACGAGGACGTTTTGGGGGCCCCTTGTGAGGAGCAGCAGCAAGACAGACTTTTTTTTTCTCAGGGTTCTTGCCAGACAATGCTCAGATGGCTTCCTTGATCGCGTTGATGGTCTCAGGTCAGTCATCATGTATTAGAGACATTGAAGTTAGTGAGCTACAAGCAGATGAAACGTATCCATGTACCAGAGTTGCATGACAGATATGTGTGGCATGACAAACATATCTATATATATATATATGGGCTCGGACTTATCTAAGTATGCGAAGATATGGTTTATAAACTATAAGGCTAGTTTATAAACCATACTTGAAAATAATGATTATCTTATCTCACAGGGGGCCCCCAAATCGTCACGGGCCCATATATATATAATCCCTGTGGGAATTTCGGCTAGGAGCTGGGGGCCAGATTTTATAGAAAGAACCAGGTTGGGGTGGATATTTGGTGACTATAGAATCCTTAAAACAACATGCCTGGACAAGTGGTCACTCTATAAAAGCTGGTGGCACAGGTACCCCCTGAGACACTGTTCCCATTTTTTTTAAAGATTTTATAGTGCTATAAAATCAGATTTCAAACAGGGGAACACAGAATCAAACAGAACAAAGTGGAACCCGTGCTACCTCAACAGCACTGATTTTATAGAAAAAATGATTCAGAAAATGGGTTTGGGCAGCTCTCGAGAAGGAACCTGTGCCACCTGAGAAGTTTGCACGTGCTCTGTCTGAGAAGTTTAGTTTGCACACGTTTGCAGCTTCCTCAAAGATGCATGAATCGCAAAACTGTGCGGACTTTTTTTCACATAGTTTTCAATTGTTTTCTTGCGCTTCCATCAGGGCCTGACAGCAGCGGTTTTGGACGAAGCAAAAAAACATCTTCAAATTTCAGCAACAATCCTTCTTCTCTATAGAATCTAGTTTTCAACTCCATAGTCCACTTCTGCTCTCTATAGAATTCTAGTTCCTGTGTTTGATAAGCAATATATATTCTATAAAATGAGTCCTCTATAGAATTCACATTCCAGCTTTTTCTGGCCAGGCTCTTCCTATAGATTCAGTTGCCTCATTGCTTCGACAAAGCTGATTTCTCTATAAATTCTGATCCCAGGTTGCCAAAATGCTTCCTATAGAATCCCTGAACACAGGTCTGGCCGATGCCAAAAAGTCTGTTTCACTGTTTATTTTTTGAATTTTTACTTATTGATTTTATAGAAAAAAACGTCTTTTCTCTATAGAATCCCCCCTGATTTCTGTACACGACTCCCCTGATTTTATAGAGGATATGCCCAGGGGTATTATATATATATATATGTGTGTATTTTTGCTATTGGTCTGAAGATCTAGGTATACCATGGCTCTGGGCCCTGTGGGATCTACTCAACTCCGCCGGCCCCCCGGACCCTCCGAAGCGACACGCTTGCGCTTGCGGCGGAAGCGAGCGTACGCGGACGACGCCGACCGCTTCACGGGTGAAACCGCGATGTCACGGTATAGACTGGTGATGAACAAACCACCCACTAAACCATGAATCCTCAAACAAAGCAGAATGGCTATTGATATCTCCGATCTCCATGTATGCATCTTGGATGGGGTTGATTCATCAACAGTCTACATGAACAGTAACTCACTCAGTGGCTCGCACTGGCACCAGGCTGCGACCTATGCGCTCGCTTGAGCTCCGAAGATGAGCCCGAAAAGAGCCCTATGAATTCCAAACAAGAGAAGAAGGTGATTAGTTGGGTCTATCACTAGTATACCAGTAACAGTGAATGTTTGTTCCGCTTTGCAATTTAATAATGGAGTGGTTTTCACTCCAAGACGAATGGTCAGTGACTGCGCACCGCGAGCCTACCACCAGTAACAGTGGATGATGATGGTTAGGTTGCAGGCCTTGTTCAAAAATAGTGACAATTTGTTTACAGGTCATAGGACAGACCCAAGTGATTGGAGAATATTGGAGACACCTGGATGCTGGTTTGGAGGGTCCTGTCACAGATCCGATCCCTTTTGGGGGGAAGTGGGTCTCTAAGAAAGACTGTTGACTCAAAAGGCAGCTACTGTAGCTTTACGTCATGTGGCGTCAGAGGGTCTGAGAGATGGTCTTTGGCTTGTTGAACCAACAACCTTTTGCCAAAGGCGTTCCTCTACGTTGCCAATATATGAACAAATACAATTTTGGGTAGATTCAAGAGGTCCTCCTTGGGTTGTGTGGACTTTCGTCTTCCTCTTTTGTTCTTGTCTTCCTCGTGCATCTCCCAAGCGAAGCGAAACCAGTCGATCAGAGGCCGCTCACCGTCGTTTTGCCAACCTCCTACGCCTGCTCAAAGATCTCAAAGGTCGCCAGAAAGGAAAAGTGAATGACTTAAGGCCCGGAGCAGAACCTACCAAATCTACAAACTGGTAATGTCTTCTACGACTATCCCAGCAGCGGACCCCTTGAACAAACTCAGCCGATGCAGACCATGAACAGCTTGCAGCGAACCCACCCTGGTAGGTTGAGCTAAAGTAGTCCATTCTCTCTGCTTTTTGACCTTCCGGTCCCACTGCCATGACCTAAAGCCATCACCCAACCGCCCATCACAAGCTCCAACCCCGCACGCACGGCCTCAGTAATTCCGTACGGCTCTGTCGACATTGGCCTGAACAAATGACGTGACACGGCCAAAGGGTGTAGGTCCGGTCGACTCTTTGATCCACCGGTTTGTGGTCTCCTGTGCTAGCAAAGCTATCCCTTGGGGGAGAGGCAATGAAGATCAATGAAGTCTGTTGGAGGATTGTCTCACATTGAATGCCGTGAGCACAGTCTGATGATGCAGCTTTGTTCCCGCGAAACACACATCCACCGGTAACCTTTCGTCGGTGAAAGGGTGTGCCTGATCTTGTATGATCGTTCTTTGGGTGTCTTAGAAATGCAACTGATCTGATGCAGAAAAAATTTAAGGATATTTAAGGCATCACAAGCATCAAAACCTCTTTCTGAGACTTGTGTCCGGACGATGTTTCTTCGATGCTGGGCAAATATTTGGTTGAAAAACATTACGACAAACATCCTCTTGGAGGCCACACTCTGGCATTCCAATTTTAGGAGTTAACGCTTGAGGGACATCCCCACTTTCATCAACTTTCCATATCCCTAGATGTCCCTATAGCACTGAAACTATGATGACATCTCCTTCATCAACGGTCCAATCTCCAGCCTTGCAAATGGGGCAGTCAGTACATCTCCGCAGCCATTCATCGATACACGTCTTGTGAAAGACCTCGATGCACGATGCTCGGTCAACAAGCTTCTCGGCCTCCAACCTACTAGGGATGGCCTCTAACCTGTAGTAGCGATGGCCTCCAACCTAGTAGCTCCCACCCAGGAATTTCAGTCTGCTGCAGAACTTTTGGGTTTGGAACATGACTACCCGGGTGGCTGGATCCAATGGAATGTCTATTGAGGGCACATTCCCTTAGTCCGTACGAGTCGCACCAGTCAGTGATTCTTTTCGAGTTTGCAAGTGTGGAGGGGCACAAACCAAACCGGTGGCAGGGAGAGGAGAGGAGGTGCCGTGACACCGAAAAAAAAGAGTAGGGTGACCACATGCTGCATGATTGACTTATAGGAGTGGACCAGTGGATGCCTCACTTACCATGTTCAACAATCTTAAGGCCAAGTCATCCAAACCCAAATGCCCCCAGAAATGAAGTCAAGTCAACCACATGCTTCCTCCTCCATCAACAGCACCTCACATGCTCCAACTTGACCAATTTTGGATCGTCTGAAGTCTGGTCTTTCAGCACCAGACCTGTTCCATGTCAATCCATGTCCCGTTCCGCAGGACCTGTTCCATGTCCCATCATGTCCCAACCCCCAACAAGTGTTCTTTGGGAGTTCCGAACATGTGAACAAGGCAGCCGCCGGCAAGGCTGTGTCAGCTGAAAGTCCTCGAGGCAAACCTCCGGAAGTCCAGATCGCGGAGGTCCCGGAGAAGGTCGGAGAACGGAGGACGGAGATCCCGGTCCGCGCCGGTGTCGAAGGAGAACCTGTCGGGCGGCGGCCATAGGCGTGCCATAGGAGTACTCTGCACGTCATGAAAGGCATGACGTTTGGCAGTGATCGACTATAGCATACCCCAGACACTCCATGTATGCCATATATGCCTACATTGGGGTGGTTGGGGGGTTCAATGTAGGCATATATGGCATACATGGAGCGTCTGGGTACTATACCCTATACACTATATACAGGTCAGTGAATGATCTCATGTTACTGGACTTGGTCATACAAAAGCACTGAATTATGAGGTTTTGAGGACCAGGAGACTGGACCTGGGTCAGGTTCTGGACCTCAAAACGGGATAGTCTATCCGGGATAGTGGTCTTTGGATCGACCCATGCCAAACATTCAACCACTGCAAGTTCTGGGTCGATCGAAGGCGTGTCCATGGCCTTCCAAAGACTTCTGTCGCCGGACGGAGGTCGAAAAGGCGCCGTGACGGAGGTCGCGTGCAGATCCAACGAGACGGACCCGGCAGAAGGTGCTGAAATGCTCCGAAATGCCCCCGAGCTTTCCAGTACCAAAAAGCACTTACTTAGCACCTTTTAGCTTTCAAGCTAATGGGCTGCCCAGTGGCCTCCTAGAAAGACACCAAAAAGATCCCAAAAAACACGGCAATGAAGTTTGGAGCTTCGGACAATTGGTCTGAGGCACCTTACCCACGACTTCAGCCCAAAATCGCACCGCTCCCTCCTCCTTTCCACCTCCCCTTTGTCTGAAAAAGGCTTTCCCGCACCATGCAAGTCTGCTGCGCGTGTGCATGTGGAGGTGGCCAGTCAAACCTGCCGCAGTCTGCTGCGCAACAAAACGGTTTGCCAGCGAGGATGTCATGTGCGGGTCCGCGGCCAAACATCGTTCGTCGCGGGCGGAAGCATGCGGATGGAAGAACCACGAAGAAGCCAAAATCCATATAGACGGATGATTGGATGATCGTATGTCATGCATGAACATCTTACATGAAATAGAAACTCACCAAAATTCCTGCACCGCAAGGTCAATCACAAGACCTTGTCTGCTGAAACCGCTCCGATTGGCAAAAGCACTGGCTTAGGCTGCACTGAAAAGCTCATATGAAAAGAAACACCTATAATCGGACTCCGGTGCAACGTTTCGTGCTTTCGTGCTTTCGTGCCGTCCGCGGGTCGGTTCAGGCTGAGATCCCCGGGCTGTTCGATCTCGTCGATGGTCGCGGGAAAGAGTCCCCGACGTGAGTTCAACATCTCCTGCTCGGAGAGGACCGGTTGGAATCATTCACAGAGGAGGCTTGTAGGTTTTGGGCGCGTTTTTGGCGGCAAGAAATGCCATGGTTTTGAGGGCGACCATGAGTGAACCACAAGAAGCGGGTGAGATTTGGTCAGGGGGGTGAGGGGCTGGAGCCGAAGAAGATGGATTGCCTGTCGATGATTTGACGCCACAAGAAACGTCCTACTTGCCTCATCTTTCAAAAGTGAGCCGCCACACAAACCAAGATACATATAGATACATAATCACAGGCCGACTTTGTTTCTTCTCCAGAACGACCGACATCAACTTCACTACATACTCCGAAACCCTCTGGATCAGGGGTCCTCTGGATCATGCTCAATTCATCTGATCTCAATTCTTATAAGCTTTTGGATCAAGCACGGTCAATACTCCAAGCAACATAACTAATTACTCCAAGCACGGTCAATTCCCCCATCATGTTCGATGCTGCAAGCCTTCTTATCTTCTCCTTAAAAGAAGAAAAGAAGAACGTCTCCGCCGTCTCGCGTCTCGTACCCCTCGTCTCTCCGCGGGGTTCTCCGGCTCCCCGAAAGGGGTCGTCGCGTGTCCCGTCGCTCGTGGCTCGTCGCTCCTCCACTTCGCGGGTCGTACGCTCAGAGCTGAGCAAAAGCATCTGCAGACCCTGCGGCAGCTGCGCCACCTGCCGTCGCGAAGGTCGGAGCGACCGCGTCCAGGGCATCGGAGGATCGGAGAGGAGGTCGAAACGGAGGCCGCGGAGGCCTGGGTCAACCAAGAAGTGCCGATTGAAAAGAGAGGAAGGGAAGTGGCAGACAAGGCAAAACTACTTTGTGTAGGAAGGACACCAATTTTTGGAGATCACACGTGAAATGATCCAGGAAAATCACGTGGAATGAATATGAAATGATCGTCCATATAAAACCATGTTACAACCATGTACAAATTATGAAGCATCTGTTTGAACAAAAAATAGCACATAAACAACACAATACCAGGACCCACAAGGGATGGTTTATGGACACCCCTTAACCTCTAAGAGGCTATCAATAGAAGTCCATCCAACTCCACCGGTCGGTCCTGGCTCATCAAGTTCGGCGGCAGCAAGTTTCGCAGCGAAGGTTGCAATTGACCCCTCAGTCAGACGGCTCGCGAGCGAAAGGCTGCAAACAATATATATATATATATTATATAACCCCGAGTACTGAGTACCTATTAAAAAACTGACCCCTATTTAAAAAAAGTCATGTCGGATCCCCCTAAATACGGCTTATATATATTTGTTTTTAAATTGCCGGCCTTTCAAGCCGCTACTAAACTACCAACATGGCCGATTTTGGAGGGGTTTTTCTTATTAGGTTCAAAAAACAACCTCTGTCCGCCCTGTCTATCCACCATGACACGCCGCGCTTACACCAGCATGCTTTCCTTCCCCCAATGGCACGGACTCACACAAACGCACTTGCCACCGAGGTCATGCAACACCGCATCGCACAGCGACATCACCTTTCGAAAGCTTTAGCTGTTAGTCTACTGAAGAATCACTATTCCAATGAAGGTTTTTGTAGGGGAAAAGGAAGACCCTTCGATCTGGAGGTTTTTTGCATTTTTGATACGAGTTTAATAAAGGATTGTATATAAAATGTTCCTGGATTACTTTTTGGTTTTGAAACTCTTTCCAGGTGACCCTATTTTGGACCACCACGACTTCAGGGACCTCCTATTTAAAAAAATGCGACCGAGGTTTCCTTATTAGGGGGGGGGAGGCGCGTTTTTTAATAGGTGGACTGGATTATTATATAGCGAGCGAAAGCTCGCGCTTGGTGCGAGCTTTGAGTCGATGTGAGGTGGTGGGTGGATTCTGAATGGGGGGCGGCAGGTTGGTGGATATGCCATGATATGCCGTGTTCCAAACCAACGCCGAACAAGAACCTTGAGATACCCAAGAGAAAAACATGTTTTCAGAAAAGCAAAGGCACGGGTAACATCTTGAAGATCATGACGCCCCAGGCTTCATTCCTTTCAGAGTTTCTGTACTCATGAAGTCATTAAAAGTCTCAACAAAAACGACCAGCTGTCTTCAGAACACCAAAGATCTCTCCAGCTATTGACATTTATCGAGCTGCTCGCAGAAGATGGTGGTGCTCTTGCCGATGCGCGCAAGAGTATCTGGCTCACAGGCCACCACCTGCGACGTGTCGCCACACCCTAGAGAACCGAGGACCGAGGATGGGCACGGTTGAGCAGGCCAACGACGCGAGGATGCAGAAGGAAGGCTGAAGCGACATGATCCAGTGTGGGAAGATCGAGGTCAGCACTTGACTTGAAACATCGTGTGTGAAGCTGAGTGTCGTTGATGTTAGAACCACCTAAAATATGGCCTTGTCCCGTCAAAAGTGATATAAATGAGTTCTATAATGCACTATTATGTCGACATGATTCACATTGATTCGCCATGCGATCATATATCTCAAAAGCTCTGGGAGCCACGTGATCCATGGAACCATCTGCAGATCGGCGAGCAAGGGAGCCACTGTTCGGGAGTTACCAGGCCTTGAACTGCACTCCCTGGTAGGTGAAGAAGTCATTGGCCTGCAAGAAGTCATTGGGCTCTTTCTTGGGCAAGTACCGCGAAACGAACTACAGCTGGCAAACCTGGTGTTCAACTGTTTAACTGTATACCTGGATCTTCCGACGATCATATAGTTGTCTAATGTCTTCTCAAGTTCTAGGTCACTAGATCTTTGGATCTCTTCCTCTCCTGCCTGGTACTTCTTGCATGGATTGGCTACTAAGTAGGGCTTCAGGTAGTCGCTGAAAAGCTCATACTGGTAAGCCCGCGGAAGCGTGTCCTGCCAGCTTCGCTTCGACCCTGGTCGGCTGAGAATGTCTCCGGCCTTCAATGGCCTTGAATGGAATTCTCGTGACTTGTCTTTGGCCATGCAAGCTTCTGCGGAAGAAAAATAGATGAAAAACGTAGCTTCAGGTTGGTGCGGGAAGGGCGACGGACGCATTGTGTGGGAGGATGTCCCCTTTAAGGCTGGACGCTTTCCCTGATGGGCATGGGCAAACCGAACTAAGGTCGAACGAAGCATCCTTCGACACCCAGTGGAGTAGTGCTTTAAAACTTGGTAAAACTATGTAAAACTAAAGTGTTGGCAATGGTGCTAGTACTGCTGACTTTGTGGAGCATCATCATCGGCATGTTCATCGTACCCGGAAACTTTCACTCTCCCCACGCTCAGCATCGCAGCGCTCTGCGCTGCCCTCCGGTGGAAAACCCAGCGCTCCATAAAGGGAAGGATGTGAACCTTCTCGAATTCCGGGGTGGAGTCCCAGTTCGCAAAGATCTCCGTATCGGTCTCAGCAAGGAGCCCGGTCCGATTCGAGCAGAAGGAAGTGCCGGGACCTGCCTTTCTACATGCCGATGACCTGTTCATCTCAACCAGTTGCCCGCAGTCCTCTTTTCGGTTAAAGGGATTCTAAATGACTCTAACATCTTCCACCTACTAGTACTATATTCATCATACACCATCATACACCCATATATACACCCTAATTACCTGCTTGCCGAAACAAAACAACAGAACTAACACCTTCAGCTTCTTCACCTTCCTCGCCCGTCGAGACGGGGCGTACGTTGTCGCGGACGCGTCGTCGTTGTCGTCGTCGTCTGGGCATTCCAACGGAGACCAATCCAAGACCAGTAGGCTCGGTGGCCTCCACTTGCAGGTAGATATCATTGTCCAACTGGCGGCCAGCTAAGCATTTCAGGCGTGAAGGGCACGGTTCGCTTCCCCCATTTGGGCCTTGCTTAGGCCCCCTCCAAAATGGTAGGCCCGGGTGCGGTTGAAGAGAAGCTTCCATCATGCGACATCGGTCTCCCTCATCGCTTCGCATCGCTTCGCGGCATTGAACATGGTCTCCAAATGACAGACCCCAAAAACATCATTCATGTTCTTCAACTTCTCCCACAAGAACAGAAGGAGGTTCTGATTCTGTTTCGTGCATTTCAGGCCAAAGCATTCCACACCACCTCCACACATGGTCGTCAATCTCTTCAGGTTGCGGCCTCTGCACCACCGTGGCGGCCCTCCCGCCTTCACCACTTGCCCCGTGTAGAGCAAACGGACTCGTTTCGCATTGGGGCCGTAGGGCGCGTACCTGAATCGTCGCGTCAAACGCCAAAAGAACCCCAGTTTTCTTCGAGGGAAGACTCTTTCGGCAGTGTTTTTAGGGTTTAAAGGGTCCTGCTTGATTTGAAGGAGCCTCATTTGGCACCTTGGAACCTTTGAGATCTTCACTGACTTCCCTTTTGGCCTTCGCGGCCTTAAACCGGTGTTTTCTGACTTCCCGACATTAAGATCTTTAGACGGCCGAAAACACTTCACTCTGCTGAGCTCAAGCCATGCATTCAGGTGTTGCCCGTAGACTGAAGGAACTCCTGCAAAAAGTAAAAATGTTTGGGGTAATTAGTTCCGCCCGCCCCAGAGAGGTCGCTCCACCTGCACCTCTAGTGCCATCCGTTGCACCTGCACTGAGTGCCCAGCTCACCTTTGAAGTATGGCCTCACGTACCTCAGAGGCGCCCAGCATGCCACCCAAAAAAAACGAACCCAAAAACGCCCTCCGCCCCCGGCGCCAGCACCCCAAAGCCGGCAGGGTTCTCTTCAGGTGAGCTCTGCTGGGTCGGATCTGGGCCGCCGGACTCGTTGAAGAGCTGCTCGGAGGAGAGCTCCGTAGGACCCCAGGCACTGGCGAGCGGTCGGGGCAGAGTCCGGTGCTGGAACCATAGACCCTCTGAAGAGGGTGATTTGGAGACTCGGAGCCGGAAGACGCTTTTCTGGTAAGTTGGAGGGTCCAGTCGTACTTACCTTCTGTAGGTTTGGATGATGAAGGTATAGTAGGTGGAATTCCCCCAAATGGGATGCATGCGACACCTCTGCTTGCGCGGTTTGCTTTGCCACGCCGGGAAAGGGCCTGAATTGGATCTTCTGGAAACAAATCACTGGAGCTCCGTCCACGAAGAAGTCCTGCAAAAAGGTCCAGGTCTGACGTGGACAGGGCAGGTTCTGAAGCATCCGAAACGATCCAAAAATGGGTGGGACCTTCAACCATGACCTCTTGAGATCTCAGGCGTCACTTAGTCACATAGAGTCACTTAGTCACTCCAAAGAGGCCACGAACCGAAGGGCCTGGTGGTGGGATTTACAGGGACTGATAGGATCAACTCAACTGTCAGCACTCATGAAAAGTTATGGAAGGCCACCAACACCAGGCTGCAGTTCGGTTGTGTTTAACCTGTTTGTTGATAATGTTATATATATATATATATCGATGCTCCCCTGTCTGCTGGCAACGACAAAATATGATGTTCCAGCCCAGCGCAGACTCGCAGAACCCCAAGCAGGATGCTGCCATCATGAGAGACTTCGCATCTGAATGATGTGAATTGGACACAAGAACCACCATGCAAGCAAACCTGTTTTGGGGAATCGACTGAGAATGATGCAGTTCATGTTAAAGGAAAACACGTCTGTGAACACCTTTGGGTGTGTGTGCATGCGGTGTGTGTTTGCGAACCTGATGGATTCTGGCTGGACTCCCGGTTCGCTGCTACAGGCCTTGGAGGGATGAAGCCTGAGTATAACAACCGATTTATATCGATTTGTATCAAAGGATGGCATGGCCTCGATTTCAGATGGCCATGTTCCAAAGACCATCTGAAGGTGGTTTTCACTCCACTTCCCAGGATGCTTTCCAAAGGCCACTTCCCAAATTCATCATCCATCTGATGTTGGAAGCTGCTCCTACGACTCTCTGAATCCGGCAATGCAAACCCGGTGGTTCAGCCGCCAGTCCGTGTCCATACTGAGGCAGCCCTGAGGGGGGTCACACCTGAAATAAGCAACGCAAAATGTGATGACTAGGAGAAGAAGGCGATCCAGAAATCCTCCTTGGATGTTCATTAGAGTGAATCCCATAATAGATAAACGCGGTTTCCAATACAGTGTCGTGGGAATATGTTTTTGATTAATCTATTTGGGGACCACCATAGTAGTCTTTCATCGCTTCTGCATTTATTGTCCTACCAGTACCAGCTCGATCCTCACAATCGCTAGCTAATGCACGCCGCTCCACCATTGAACAAAAGTTCAAGCAAAAAGATCTGCACTTTTGGAGGGACCTGGCATATAAGATCTGGCTACAAGCAGTTCAGAAATCATGAGGCTGCCTTGATTGGATAGCCGAAACTGGAGGATCCTCTACAAGTGGCCAACCAAATGGTCAAGGGCCAGACTAGACTAAATAGTCAAATAGGATAAGCAAATCCGCGCACAGTGCTTCGTCAGTGAAAAGAGTGCAGCATCAATTCGAAGGATTGGTTCGTTCCAGGCGACCCAATCCGCCACAGGATAGGTGAGAGCCACAAGAGGCACAGGTCTAGGGTTTGTTTGTTTACTTGTTTATTGTCAAGCAAATGATGGGTGGCTTACAAATGCACATGATGCAAGTCACATCATAATTACGCATTACAAGCATCAAAAGTTAGCAAAATGGTCAAGACACGGGCAAAGTGTTGTCCTCCCCAAAAACTCCATGTATATGGCATAGTTACCTACACCAACACCTCTACTTACCCCCTTTTCAACCACCCCAGTCGTCTATGGCAATATTGCCGTCCCATGCAGTGTGTGTGTGGGTCCTACGAAGCGCAACGCCCCGCAGCTCGGGCGCTGGCTTGATGACCACGAACTCCGCCTCCGTGGCTTTGACCAAATCCCCCGAGCGCACCACCTCACCGCGGAGAGAGAGAGAGAGAGGGGTCGCCCCGAGAAGCAAAAGAAAGAAGTGATTTGCCTCATGTTCAATCCTAATTTGCTAATGCACTTATAAACAAAAATCATATACAACTGGTGTTGGTGCCTGCAAGAAAGGGACCCACTGACTTGCACAAGCGAGTGCGCTGTGGAGTTGTGACTCATCGTGCGAGCTAGGGCCGAAGTGGTCGATTTGGCGCTTCACGTCGCTGCCAAGCCCCAAACGGGTTACACTTCGTACGACTCACAGCAGTTCTTCTTCATAGGGGACCCCAAAACGAGCGAGGCTCAGTGTCGTTCAGCTTGAGCAGCTGGTCAAGCTGGCCATTCTGAGAAGCTGGAGACATGCAGCTCTCCGAAAGCTGAAACATGCGATGCTTGGATGATGAGCCAGGGGGGAAGGGGGTTGACCAGTGGAGACTCCCACGGAGGAGCTCCTGCCAAGAGTCCGCTGCACGTGACACACAACGTGGAGATTCACGAGCTCAAACCGCATGGTTGGGCAAGCTAGGGTGGTAGTGGTAGGTCATCTCTTCCCAAGGTGGCTTGTCCCTTAGAGGAGTCAATCCCGAAGCTTCAGCTATAGCAAGGACCAATTTCATTGGAAGGAAGATATGTAGAAGCTGGTCGAGACCTGTTGGTAGATGTGTTTTCCTACCAGGAATGACTCATGACTCTACTCTCTGACATGAGATTAGTACAAGTCAATTAGGCCTGCACTCTGCGGAAACACTGGCAAATTCAACACATATGCATATACACTGAAAAAAAGATAAACGGTAGCATGCGTAGCATGATCATGGTATATGGTACACCATATATACCATAAGTACCATGATTATATACCATGTACTATACCATGTATACGCCAGTATTCCACCATCGCCTCACCCCACCCGCCTCCTTGGTGTTCCGAATCTGCCGTAGGGTGTCGGCCAACACCTCCATCCGACCTCGGTGAAGCCAGGCGTACCCACCAGTAGTCTCTCTGAAAAAGCCAGGCTGAACAGTGGAGTGGGCTACAAACCTGTGAAGACTTGAGAGGTCTTGCACTTTTTATAGAGGTCTTTGATTGCTGCAAGCGCTCAAGAAGAACGGCCTGCGGGCGTCAACCCCTAGTAAAAAAGGCCGTGCTGGGGCACTGGGGTGTGGAACAAAAAGAACTTCACGCTCTATTCTTTCCTCTACCTCGGGTCGATGTCCATTCAATACGACCTTCGAACCAACAGAACTTTACCTCCCTCATCCTCATGGTAAACGGCCCACAGGCACAGTTTCCGGAGCGCGTTGAGTGCTGTACTTTTGCCTTTTATTCGAGCATCCGCCTGCAGAAATCAATTGTGCAGCCCTGGCATGGAACTCCTGATGGGGGCAAATCCTGGGTCTGTCAAGCTTGGTGGGTTTGATGTTGTTTGATGCTGTTTATAGGTGGGAACTGCCAAGGCAAACACCTTGATTGCAAAGCACTGTAGTAGGGCTCCTCCGGACGCCACCCAACAAATCTCGACAGCCAGGTGCTCAACTGATCAACACAGCGTTGGCGTCCTTTTTGGGGGGGCCTGTTACAGGATGCTATTCTGGATGCCAACAGATCTGAAGCCAAAGCGGGCTGGGCTCAAACCCATCGTTCTCCTGTCTAAAAGGGCCAGGAATGGCCTCCTTGAGGGGCAAGATGTGAAGCTTCTTGATGCATTCCTGCACACACTGTACGGATACACTCGGGTTAAGCGGCACAAAGTAGCTGCGTCCCGAAGTACAGCGACACGAAATCCTTAATTGAACACGGAATGAAACCATCACTCACTTGAAGCGATTTGGAATTGGTAAGTCTGTGGATACTAGGAAGGACTCACACAAAGAGCTCCAGCTCCAGTCTACCAAAAAGCGATTCTTGAGCTCTGGATTCTGTGAGCCGACTGTCGCGTTAAACCAGTCTCCTCCGCATCTGCTCGCCTGAACAAGTCGAGCGTCACGAGCTCAAGGCTCTGTTGGTTCCCAAAGTCTCCCACTACTGCGAAAGAGTTGGAGGAATACCTTATTGAGAGAAGCTGGAAAAAACATTTAGTTAAAAAAACACAACAACAACAACAACAACAACAACTTCTTTCTTTCTCACGCAATGAGGGGATCCTCTGCGCTGCCACATCATCGTATCCTTTACGACAATGGACTCTTCTAGAGTGCTTTGGCCAACTTCGAAATGCATGCTATCGAGCGAGCTTCGTCGATCGTTCAACGGGGTGTGAGCAAAGGAGATCCTTCAAAAACTCACCACAAAAACACATCACATCTGCTATTCAAAATGTCCCTCTCTCATCGGCAGCCGGCATCAGCTGAACTACAGCAGCGGCAGTTGCCGCCCACAGCAGCATGCCGCAGCGGAGCAGCCGCGCAGGGCAGCTCTGCTATCTATTCAGCCAAGTTGCGATGGATGAAGGCAATCATTAATGCGATCCAGGAGCGATTCCAGCTGAGGGTTGACCTCCATGGTAGCGGAGTGGACCTGATCCTCTTCGTCGGATTCAAAGGTGCTTCCTGAGCTGAGTCCTGCCGGGGTGTGTTCACTAGCATCCACCTCAGTCAAGGGAAGCAACCATAGGAGCACCACCCTTTCCTGAGCAATGGCTGGCAGCGTGGGTGTCCAAACTGGGCATCGATTGTCATCACAATGCCACCATCCAGGCGGGGAGTACCGTGTATCACGGAGATAGGCCTGAAAGTGACCTGACATTCCACTACCCAAGTGAATCACAATGCTTTGGACGCGGTGACCAATCCAGACAGGTTCCGCACTTCGGCTCCATGCAAAGAAGGGAAGCTGAATGTCATCCTCAAAGAGCAGCCGATGAGTGTGGCCTGAGTGCGAAGTGAACATGCAATATCGATCAATATGCAGCACCTTGGGACCTGTCAAATGCAGGAAAGCACTCTTCATGGACAAAGCGTGAACTCAGGTTCCCAAAAGCACTTCAAGAGAAATGCATGCCGAGTCTAACTCATCAATGCGCTCCAGCCAAATTGGCAGTTCTTTTGATCCAGCGTCTTCAATATGGATTTTACCATCACAGCTAAAGCGTCGCTCCCATTGCATTGAAGTCAAATCCGAGCCCATCCAGCAAAGGAGCTCTCGGGTGAATTCAGCAACATCCCTTGGACGCCCCTCTTCAGGAAGAGAAGCCATGAGTGAGGTCAGTTCTGGGCGCTGTGCCACATGAACCGGATCGGCCGTGGAGGCCGTCAAAAACGTGGACAATGTTCGAAGCCCCCGACCAAAGTCCGCCAAGAAAAAGCTGGCCTAGAGATGAGGCACCACAAAGCACTGCGAAGGCCGGCGTTGAGCCAGCAGTAGTGTTGATCATTGTGAAAGGTCATCTGAATCAGTTTCTCCAGGTATTGGTCTCTCAGCGTCTGCGGGAGGCGTGGAAGGCTTGTCTCTGCAGATCTTGTGCGAGACCGGAACGCTGGAAGCTGTGGATCCTCAATCTCCCTGCTATCAGCAACCATATGGAGCTGTTCACCAAGCTGCGTACTTCGATCATGAGGGCATCGTTGCGAGCCGAGAGTTGCAGTTTCCATGGGATCACCGTGTTGGGTGAGTTCTCTTCCACCTTGTTCGACTTGAGGGAGTGAAAGCGAATCAGGTTGGCGGATTCCATGAATGCTTGTTGGATCCTCTGAAGTCGTGCCTTCATTTCCTGAACTGGAGTGCTGGGCTCGCTCGAGATCTCGGTCTTTTTGAGCTTGGGATTCCATTTCAGGAAGGGGAAGCTGCCGTCCTTCAGTACCACTCCCGTCTCCAGGGACTGCTGCATGAAGTTGGAATCGGTCGTGAGCTGCTTGCAGAAGGTCTCGAAGCGTGTGATCAGAAGGTCCATCAAAGCCTGTGCCAGGTGAAGTCGGAGAGCCTGGGTAGGCGATTCCTGCTCTTTCCATTCCCGGGCTTTGTGTACTAAGTGGGGAAGAGCTCCTCTGGGACCTGAAGTCAGATACATCACAAAGCTGTCCTGACTGGCTGCTGCATTGAGTGAGTCTTCGTGTCTCAGGAGGAGGGCCGCCATGGTGCGGCAAAGACTGTTCACTGTTGGGCTGCTGTCTCGAGTGGAAGAAGTCTGTGATCCGCTCCCCCGAGGTGGATGGTTGTCCTTGCGTCGCTTTGCTCGATGGTCCTCCTGTTTCATGGCCATGGGTTCGAGCATGTTTAGGAAGGCGTCCTCCATCTGCAGCATCTTGTCCCCTTCGGTGACTTCGACCACATCCATGGGCGACGTCAGGCCGTGTTTGAAGAAGTGCAAGACCCACGTTGAGTACAACAGGACATTTGTGTCGAAGACAATCCCATACAGTTTCATCATGCAAATTGTATGGCTCATTCACGGTACACATGGGGCATGGAAGGGTCCAGTCAATCTGAGCTCTGGCATTTTCCCCCAAATGCTTGAGCAGGTTGGGCAACATGGCATACTGGAGCTTGTGGACCGTGGTCATGTGTTGCCATAGTGTCTCAGGTGTACCGCTGAACTTGCAAATGGTGCAGTGATGGCTGAGGCCAGTGCATGTGCTCGGAGTCGTCCAGATCAAATGGAGAGACCCATTTACCATCTGTGGTGGTAGCCAAGGAGCCTCAGAGTACAGCAAGGGATTGAGTTGTGTCAGGCGTGAGACCATGGAGTCTGAGATCGTCCAAGGCAAAATCAGGGCCCATTTCCGTGGATTGAGATGATGAATAAGCATACCAATCTGTCTCCATGCCATGCACTTGTGTCCCTTAGGCTGTCGCCCTCTGGAGGGATTGCAGATGCATGCCGGACCAAACTCCTCAATCAATGCAACCATCTTGTCAGCAGCCCGAAAATGAATGCCATGCTGAGATTGCAGGTGTCTCGTGAGATCGGCCACTCTGGACTGAGAATGACCACACATACAGCAAGATAATGTCATGCGAAGTTTGATGTTGTCGTCCATCTCCGGGAGTATCGTGAGGGCCTGACCCGTTCTGAGCGCTTCCATGTAGCGTGCATCTTGTCGAAGGGTTCCAACCTGATCAGCCAGCGGATCATGACAGCGACAGGATCGTCTGTTGATGTGTCGTTGAAGCTCCCATGTTTCACAGAACTGACTCTTGCAATGATTGCAGGTGGGATTTCCCAATACAGAGTCTCGGACACATTGGTATTGAAGATGGTCACTTCGAAGGTGGGCATGGAGTTCATCCAAATGCATGAAGGACTCAGCACAAATGACACATACATGTAATGGAAGGTCAGGATCACGGCATGAGGGAGGATGGGACCAAATCTGATTCACTTCATCTGCAGGTTGCAGGGGACGGGCCTCTGCGTCCGGCAGCATTGAGGCTTGGGTCGCCGCCAGGTGGATCTCAGCGTGAAGAAGAGCAAGTTGGAGCAGGACCTTGCATTGATGGCCGGTGACAAATTGAACTTGACAGTACATGCAAGGGGATTGGAGTGCATCTTTCCAATGCTGATAGTGCCCCATTGCATGGAGAGCCATGGTAGGATGATCCAGCTGTATATGTTGAAGTGCGTCTTGAATTCGTCCATGTCTTTTTCCACAGAGGCCACAATGGCACAGCAAGAATCCAGCCCATTCTTGGTGCTCAAGAATTGCATTCAGATCTCCTGCCTGTAGTGACGGCCGTAGACCCTCTCGTAGAGCTCGAAGATCATCATTCATGACCTGAGATGGATCGAAAAAGGCACATTTGTTATATTGAATATGGCGATGCAAGGCAGTCCAAGCTGTGAACTGATGAAGACAGTGACGACATGTTGGTTGTCCGTCGAGACTGTCTCGGTCGTACCTGAAGTCACGAACTTGAACGTCATATACCTGATGATGATTTGTGATGTGTTTACTTAACGAAGCAGCACTAGGGAAGCGAAGGTCACAAATCCGACACTGGAAGCCAAGCTCCGGCAAGGCAAGATCGGTGGGCGCTCCTTGCATGAGGGCATTGAGTTGATGCAGCAGTTGACGAGTACCACTCAAGTCACAGCATTGTACAAAATCGTCTGATGGTAAACACTGCTTCCGGATCTGAAGTCCTTGTAGAAGACGGAGACACCCCTTGTGCATGAAAACCGCGGGCGGGTCAAGGTCAAGCTGAGAAAAGAACTGCTTGTGGGAAGTGTGTGTGTCAAACGAGTGACTGTGAAAAATCATGCGGATCATGGTGGTCTGAATCTGTACCAGCTTCTTGAGCCCTGTGAGGGTGGAGCCAACTGACCAAATGCCATAACACATGGTACTGCGAACAATGCTCTGCCATAGCTGGAGCTTCTGATGAGCAGCGAGGCCTTTCTTCCGTGAGTACAGCCACATGTAGAGGCGTTTATTCGCCCTGCGTGCAATGGTCAAACGATGGTCCACGGTGCGTTGTTCAAAACACTTGTACGACAATCGAACTCCCAGGTACTGAACGTCGGCGACAGTTCGTAACCAAGTTTGCGCACCATGGGCTCTTGGTAGTTGGAGAAACCACCCATCAGCACGAAATTTGAAGAGCTTCGTCTGGATCCTCTTGGCATGTTTCCCCGTGAAGCTATAAAGAACAGTGGTCTTACTCACGTTGATGTGAAGACCAAACGCTTCCAACAAATCAAAGAGGATTCCACAGTGCTGGAGGTGCAGATTGAGTTCATCCTCTGAAGAAAAGAAGCATTGGAGTAAGAAGTCGTCAGCAAACAGGGTCAACACTCGGTGTACCCATGCTTCAGAGGTTCTCTTTTGAAGCTCGAGCAGAAGCTGGTGCATACCACACGCCCACAAAAATGGGGCGGCCTTACAGCCTTGGCGTACACCCTGCATGGTGGAAATAGCAGCATGGTAGGTTTTGTGATTGATATGATAACGAGTATCAGTGTGCCAAGTTGTAAGCAATTGAACACATGTTTGAGAGACCCCAAGCTGAGAAAGACCCGAAAAAAGGCGTTCGCGAGGCAGGGTATCAAAAGCTTTTTGTAAATCAATGCTTATCGTAAGGCCACCAACCACGGTAGACGTGTCACTCACAGATCTACGAGAAGCGGCAATCCGGTCACGAACCATGGTGCAGTGTGCAGCAGCTCGCGCAATACAGTCATGAGTACTTCGATGTGGAAGATATGCAAACTGCGGTTGGCTGCATAGCCGGGACAGCACCGGTTGTCTGGCCACTTTGGTCAGCAATCCAATAACTGCAGTGCCGATTGGATCTTGGAGTGCGAGTGGTCGAAGATTCTCCACACACTTGGGGAGGTTGTTGGGTTTGGGTAAGAGGAACAAGTGTCCATCTTTCCACCCTTGGGGGATGAAAGGAGGACTAGTACTCCACCAAGTTCCCAAACATTCAAACAGTCGGCGTGCCACAGTGGTCGCGTTGCTGGAAACACATGCAATAGGGCAGGTGCCCGGTGCAGTGGATTTCATGAACTTAAGAGACCGCAGGGCAGCAACAAGGTCACTCTCAGAAAAGGGGACTCCTGGAGGCGTCGTGGGCTCAGAAGAGAGTGGGAGGCCTTTCCATGAATCATGAACAAACTGTTTGATGTTGGCAAATTCCTCCAGCGGGGAAAGAATACGACCAGTGGGATCTCGAAATCGAACCTGTGCCGTGCGCTGTTTGGGAGTCAGTTTATGGATGACTTGATGAAGAGCAAACATGTTGTGATGGTCAGCAGCTGTTTTGGCCTCTTCGATCAATGCATCAAATCGAATCTGTCGTGCAACTCGTGCGTGTTCCGCATGAGTCCTTTGAAGTTGGGTATGTTTGGCTAGAAGGCTCCAACCCTGAAAAATGCGTTTACAAGTGCAGTCATGACGTGAAAGTTGACGAATCTCCTGAAACACTTGCCACTTGTGTTGAATGACGTCGGTAGCTGCGGACGATGGGATCACACTGCCGGAGGTGAACAGGGACCTGAAGCGACCGAGGAGCAATGAATGCATGTGGTCAAAGTCTCCGTCAACAGGCCAGTGTGTTTCCATGATGTCACGATTACCGTCAACAAAAGTTTTCCATTTAGCGGGGTTGGTGTATTTAGCGATTCGGCATTTGGTTCTGTGTTCAAAGGTGACTCTGTTCACAGCTGGGGAGCTAGCGGTCGTCCATGTTTGCATGATAGAGCAAAGGAGCGGTCGATGCCCCATTCCATGAGTGCCTAGCAAAGGAAAGTCAGTCAGTGGCGTGACATCCTTCGAGGTTCGATCCGCCTGTCTGGCCCTGGTGAGGATATAATCAATCCTGGATCCAGTGCCATGGTTCGAAACAAAGGTGGGGCCCGCATCAGGCCGCCAGCAATTGAGCGCAACCAGATTGTGATCTTGGATCACCTCAAGCAGCCGGGCGTGATCAGAATGGTAAGTACCAGAGCCTTTGACTCCATTGTGGACGAAATGCTGTGTCCCGACATGTGGTGGACAGCTCGGCAGGGTCGTATTATAGTCACCGACGACGGCTAAATTATTACGGGTGGGAATATCCATTAGTAACTGATGTAATTCAGCACACCATTTGGCACGGGCTTGAAGACAGTCGGCAGTCCCATTGAAGGTCGTTTGATAAGCACCTACGATGTCAAATGGCCTGGAGGGCAAGTGCAATCGAACATGGATGAGACGACCAGCAATCACTTCCCTCCAAGTGATGTCATTAGCCGAACACAGGGACTTACGTATGAGGACAACAAGACCCGTGGCGTTTCGCGGTTGACCACTGCTGGCTATCAAGTGCCAGTCTCCTTCCCGACCCTCCCAGCTTTGATGCCATCTGGATTCCTGAAGCACCACCACTTGCACGGGTTGAGCGTGCAGCCACTGCAGGAGCTCGCTCAGGCGGTGACGTGCAAGTCCCGATGGATTCCATGAAAAGATAGTTAGTCTTTTCCTGAGCTGTGGCGGATGGTGAACGGCCGAGTCGATCTCGAACAGCGGACGTGGGCACATCGAAGGGGGTGTGCATTGCAGCTGTTGGCAGGTCATGAGCTTTCCACGATACCAAGTGTGGCCATGGAGGCCTGCTCTAGTGCATGCTCTTTTATAGCTACGTTTGAAGTTGGCTTTGTTGCCTCGGGAGGCACTGTGGGGCATGAGGCCAGTATATTTCGTTGAGGGATGGATGTTAGGAAAGTCCGGGTACTCCTCAACTCCAGGAGGCCATCTGGCAGACCTCCAACCCTCACCTCTATTGACACTCAAGTGCATGGAATGATCAGGGGGATGATATCTTATTGAGTGCAATCTATGGACTTGGGACCATAGACCAGCCAATCCGCTTGGGATCAGGGGTGCAGACTCGAGAGACAACCAGAGCGAGAGAGCGAGGCCAGCTGGAAGAAACCAGGAGGAAGGCCAGCTGCAATGCCGCTCAGCAGCGGCTTGTCTCCGCGGCGCCATGGGCGGCCGTCGCACCCAGCACCATTCTATTCAGTGCTTGGCTGGCAGAGGCTTAACAACAACAACAACAACAACATCAACAAACAAACAACCATTTACAGTGCCGGCAGGAGCCTGCCTTTATACCAACTTTTCAAGTTTTGAAAGATTGTGCTGATGGTGTCCAACTCTTCTATTTTCTCTAAGAGCGAACGCAAAAGTGACTCTGAAATTCCAAGTCTGATTGGATGATTTCCTGCCCCCGCTCCGGTTTTGGCTGGAACATGATGGAAAATGGATGATGTTGACCTTTTTCCATGTCTTTAGTGGGGAAGCAAATCACCCAAAGATGTAAAAGGTTACTTCACTGACTGGGTAGGTTTCCCAGTTGAACCCTTTGGCTTTGAGTGCCACTAACCTCACCACCTCACGATGCCACCGTGCGTTTTCGTGACACGACATCTGTTGACACCACCACCTTCCCTCCCGGGTCGCGAGGTCGTTGGTAAGACTCTGGTCGAACACTGGCCTGACATGCTCCGAGCTGGAGGTCGCCTCGGACACGCGAGGCGAGATCGGCGTGCGGACACGTCGGACACCGCAGGACTTCAGGTCCAAGGGGTCGAATCTCCGGAGAAGGAAGTGATCCGAATGTGTTCATCTCTGATTGACCTCGTCTCTTTATATACTTCATCTCAGACTCAGTCATATGTACAGTACCATGTCGTAGGACGTTCCAAGGCCAATGGGCTTGGAAAACTGATGTGCTTTGGAAGTCTGAGAAGCCATGGCATGGGAAACCACTTTCATCCGCCTGACCGGAGCAGCTTCTTCTGGAAAGGACAGCTTCCGCCATGCTTACTTAAGTTATACTTTGAGTTTGATTCATTCAATCATGTTTACACTTAGTATCTTAAGGAGACCCCTTCTCACAGACCAATGAACACCCCCGCATATTGACATCTGTGGCTCAGAGAGAGTGGCTCTCCACCATGCCATGAACTCTCCCCACTCGTTGTCCCACCACCAGGAATCCCTGTCACTCGGTCTCCCCCCACTCGGTCTCGTCCCAGTCACAGGTTGGGCTTCACCGCCCAGATCAGAGTCGACCCCCATGGCTGAACCAAAGTGCCTTCAGATGCAGTTTCACCACCCAAACCCCTCAGGAATCCGAGTCCGGTAGTGGCACAGCCTAGGCAGTGCAGTTTCACCACCCAGACTCCGACCACTATCCGCGCAACGAGAGGAATCCGGGTCGTCCTTAGGCAGTGGTTTCCCCATCCCCGTCGAATCCGCCAAACGACTGGCCTCAATGCATCTTGACCGATCAGGCCAGGGGGTGATTGACATTGGTTTGTTCGGTTGTCCCGCCCATCGTCTCGGCACGGTGTGTGGGAGAAACGCCGAACCGCAACAGTGCTAGCTAGCCGCTGGTTCCAGTGACTGCAGGGGTGGAGATGTGTGTTTTTCGCATCCAGTTGCTGCCAACCAGTCTCATGTTGATCTTCAAACTCGTGTTTCAACAAGCCTCAAGTTCCATGTGGAGCAGCCTCGCATGATCTTTTTTGATCTTCCAGAAGGGGCGCATCTTTGGCTGCTTGTCCTCTGAAATAAAAATCAAAGCAAATCTTGACAACACCTCCGTGTTAGACTGTGCAAGGTTGGCTTCAGCTCGTAAGGCTCTGCCACAAGAATTCGTACCTGTCTGGATGGTTCGTTTCGATTCGTTTCGTCCGAAGTGTTTCGTGTTTTTCTGCGCCAACGCAATTGGACAAGAGTCACATTGTTCCACAAGAACAAACCAATGGCCATCGGCCAGCCACAAAAAACCGAAGTTTCACGCGGGCACTCCAAGGTCCGAAGAAGGGCCCGCTCACCGATGGAGGCTGCACCGCCATGGCCTCCCTCTTGACTTTCCTGGAGAAGGTCCCAGGTCTAGCAGTGGGCGTCCCCAACCAAAACCGTTTTGAGGAAGAACAAGGCGATCACTATACAGTATGGGGCTCAAAACGTTCATACTCCATCAAAGGTTTCCTTGATGGGAGATTTTGCTCTTCAAACACATTAATAGTTGCAATTGCATAATGCGTCATCACTACTCCCTTACCCCCCGGGGGGGGTCAGGCACCGCAAGGGGGTACTGATAATACGTCTGTTTTGCGTTGCCTCGAGGTGCACGCATGCAGTACTGGTTACTAAAACGCGCATCGCTGGTGGAACTTCTGCAGTTGTTGTGCTGCCACATGGTGGCTGGTTACCCCTGAATAAGCTCCACAAGTGGGAGCAGTGCAGCCACCGCGCTCTTGCATGATGGGTCACATGGCTACTGAGCTACTGCTCTTGCTGCATGGCTTGGAGGCCATCGTAGCTCCCATGGCCTAATGGATAAGTCCTACGGAGCAGAACGGCATCTCCACCTTGTGCTTGGTCCGACCCCCAAATCGACAGTGATCACACACCCTTGTGGACTTTTGGGGGAATTGGTTAGGTCTGAGTCGTTTTGACCCACCGGCCGCTTCACATGTCTTCCTTTAAGGCACATAGAGAAAGGATGAGGTCTGGCGTGTCTCCCTTCACATGTCTCCCGAAAGCACGTCTAAGGCACATAGAGAAAGGTCTGGAGGTTCGGGAGCTGCAAGCTTTGGAGAAGCTTCACCATCTTCCGCGCGTGGCACCTCGATGGACATCTGACCGGAAAGGCGCGGAGAGAGAAGAGCGCGGCCCCAGTGGTAAAGCTTTGGGAAAGATTTCCCACAGAAAGGAGTCTTATAGGGAGTGGATTATAGTGGATTGATACTTCCTTGGCCACGCCTGTTTCACCAACCTCAAGGAGGGATGTCCAAATATTCAAAACAGCTTTTGGTCCAACATGTATTTATCTATAAGTACATAAAATCTCTTATCATAATATCTTGGCACCCACTATATAGATGGAAGCGCTTTTTGAGGGGTGCCTGGTGGGTGTGGCGTAAAGACACACATACCGTTAGACGGCTCAGTCACCCGTAACCCGCGGTTCGCAAAACCACCGCGCCGAGGGACGGATGCACTCGATCATCTCGAGTGGAGGTGGTAAAGAGAACACGAAGAGCACGTGGATCCTTCAGATTCCATTGCAGGAGAGATCCATGGATTTTGGTTGGAACAACCACCCGCCAGCCCAGTCCACGCTCCGCCATACTGCTCGTTCTTTCCATCTCTGCAGTACTAGGTCACATCGTTTAGAGAGTCCGAAGGAGAACCCCCCAAAAACCTGTTCCATCTCGAGGTCGGTCGAGACACCCCGAGGTCGGTCACGGCGGCGAACGGGTCTTTCTCCAGTGATTGCTGCTTGACTTCACGACGATGCGCGACGGATGGAGGGTGATGGCTAGCTCGTTTCGCCATGGTTTTGCGGGTGGATTTCGCTGAAGCCAAAAGGACCTCTGGTCTTGTTGCATCCAATGGCGGATGGGAGTGGCGCAAGCCCTTTCACAACGACAGATCTCTGGAGAAAAGGGTCAGTCAGCTTTGCACGGAGCTGAGTGTATTCAGTTTCTACAGGTTCGGTCTATTGACATTCAAGCCAAGTTTCGTCATTTCAGGAACTGACCAAGGCCTGAAACTAGTTGATACATGGTGTGCCCACACATCTACCAAGCTGAATAGGGTTTCTGCATGACAAACAACTAGTTTTCCTCCAATTGGCTTGCCCCCTGGCAGGGTCCAAAAAACTCTGGAGTCATAGGTCATCACCTCTCAGATCATCTGACAACACAGTGTTGCTGCAGATCTCCTCTGACTCTCTCGCCTGAAGCTCTTGAGCCAGGTGATATGCAGAGATCTGCCTCAAAACCGCGAATGCACTGTGCCGGCCGGCGCCCAACGACGGGTCTGTAGGAATGGGACTCAAATGAGCAAGCTCTTTGTTTCGGATCAAACGTGGGGAGCGACAGAAACCCAGATCTTGAAAGCTAGGTGCGAGCTTGCACCTTTCAGCGAAAGAGGTTCGACTACGAATGGGTCTAGGGTAAAGTCGTTTGGGATTGTTATAAATCAGGAGAAAAAAACATATTATTGTTGAACAAAACAGAGAAACAACAGGCTTGTTGCACTGATGAAAATATAACATGAAGAGATGATGAAAGAAGAACAAACAAAACAAAGGGAAGAAACTTGCGAGAGCCTTCACTAACAAAACATATTCGATCTTCAATACATACAAGTACATGAACAGCTGCTTCACGTGCTGCTGGCCTCAACTCCTCCCACTTCTGCTCTGGATCTCCATATTCCTCCAGCCAGCTATGCCCTGCCAGCCAGGTATGGTAGTGCCTCATGTCCGTCAGCGGCACCTGCAAGGAAACCATATTCCAGTCTCCAGACACGACTATCATGGCACATCTTGACCCCTTTTCAACCACTGGGAGTCGACTCGGCCATGCCCCAAGGAAACGACATCCAGGTCATGTCGAGTCGACCTCATCTGCGGTCAGAGACCAAGGGCTCGGTCCTTGTCATCCCCCGACGAGGCAGGTGGCTCCAGAACCGTCTTACGTCGCGGATCGACGGTCGACGGCGGTCTGTCTACCGTTCACTTCTTCGGTCGCCATGTCTCACCGGCTGCGGATGCGAATCTTTCCCATGTCCTGCGTCATGAACAGTTTCACTCAAGACTGCACCAACTTAAAAGGTGGTCTCTACATTGTATGGTTGATGGTTGGAACCTCTTGAAATCCTGTCATGTCCGTTTCATTCCTTCCCCCAGGTCTCCATCCTCCCTCCTCCATCGATCCACCCCCCGAAAACCCGCCCGGCCGCCTCCGCCACGAAGGCGCGGAAGCGCCGCGCACCGCGCGCACCGCGCACCTCGCGCACGAGCGCGTTGGCCACCAGGAGCCCGCCATTGGAACGGCCCATCAAGGCGAGGTCTCCTCGGGCGCCACGACACGGACCGGGGCAGGAGACGCGGGAGACGTGGGAGGTGGAGGTGAGGGGTCGAGGTGGGTTCCAAGGTTTCGGGTGTGGCATTGTTGGGATGTGTTTATAAAGGATGCATTCTTAAAATCATTGTCGTGCAATAGTGATTTGACTGATCAAGCCAATGCTTAGTAAATTCCAGTGTGCAATTTTGGTGCTTGAACTGTTTCAACTCCTGAATGTATGTCCAATCCTTCCAAGAGTGGTCTTCCAGAGTTTCGCAAGCTCTTCCAAAAGGGTCTTGATCCCTGTGGCCTGGTCTTAGCAAACAACAACTGGACAGATTATCCCATGTATCAGTCTCAAAAACTCCGACCCCTCCTTTAAAGCTGTCCCCAAAGGCCCAACGTCCGCACCCCCTCCTGGTGCTGCCAACCCTCGGGCCACCAGTTCATCAGCGACCGCCTCCAAGTCCTGGGCCAGCCGCGGGCGGGCAAGTCGTCCGGGCCCTGACTGACTGAAGGGGGCCATGCAAACAAACAAGGATCTGTCTAACATGTAATTGACATGATAAGTCAGTCACTGTTAACATGCAATGCAGGACCAAAGCCTAAACCTCGAAAACATGGTTGAGTCAGTCTTTGGAGATTCATCAAATAAACTTGCTGTGGTGGAATATGTCCTTGTCAGATCGTGGCATGCAGCTTAGAATCCAGTAATGGCAAATCCTGAGTGGGTGTGGGTGTGTATTACAGCCTCCCAGTTCGACCCCCTTGAAAGAACAAATAACAACTCGACCAGCCAAGCCGCACCAGGTGGCCATACCACATAGCCTCCAGCTTATATTCCATATTATTCCATGACCATGTCACGTCTCTTTTTCATCCTCTTCTGAACTCTACAGCCCTCCACCCCGGGCCACCCCTCCAAACGCCCTCTCTGTGCCCTCCCCGCCGCCTCATAGACCTTGAGCCGCCCCAGCGCCCCGCGCCCCGCGCGCTCCCAGGCGGGGCCGAACTCGCCGCCGCCGCGGAGGTTGGCCTGGGCCATGTGGAGGGGGAACTCGCGTTCCTAGACGCCAAACAACCAGAGGGTTGAGGTTGGGGCTTGAAGGATAGGGTAACGGTTTAGGATGGTTTAGGGGTCCAACATGTCAAGACATCCGAATTTCCGGATTTGATTGGAGTAAGCATGGTATGAAAATCCCCACGGATCTCTGTCTCCGACTCCGGCCTCGATGTACTGGCCGCCACGTTCCAACCAGGCAGCTCCGATGCTCGCATTGTAGTTGGGCAACAAGGGAATGCCAAAACCTGACCACGTTCCGCGCAGCTTGGCGCGCAGCTTGGCGCGCACCATTAGAGTGGCGAACTCCGGATAGATGGAGTGAGAGGTCAAGTTTGGTGCTCCGTGGAAGCTGGATGAGTCGACTTCGTTTCTTCGTGGAAAATACATTGGAGACGTTGAGGATGATTGCTGAATTGGGAGCGGCACTTAGAGTGCTTGCATTGGTGACTTTGATCTTGGGTGTTCATGAAATGCCAATAGTGCACCTCATGTTTAAGGCTTCGCAAGCACCACAAGCTTTTTATGTTAATTAATGCTAATCAGTTTTAAGATGTTTTAAGTGGGTACGGTATGAGTATCCTTGGACCCTTACTAAAAAGCACAGCCTGTCACTTCATATAAAAAGGTTTGATATTTCGATCTTCCACCAGAATTCCCATAGTCTTTCTTTCCCTTCTGCCACAAACCCACATAGCTTCCACATGCTTCTCCTTCCGACTGCCCGGTCCCGTCCCGCCTCCATAGGCATAGACCAAGGTTGGGGGCGCCTCTCCGCAGTTGCGAGGGCGTAGACAGGTGAAAGGCACCAAGGTGCCGTCTGCAGAGCGTGCCTTCCAAAGGGCGGCTAAGACGACGATGAAGGGTAACACGCGCCGGTCGCGTGATCACGTGTTCGAAAGAAGGGGCGAGAGGTGTGACCAGAATGGGGGAGAGGTGTGAGATGTGGAAGTCTTCGAAGCTGTGTGCTTGTTGATTCCATGCTCGAATATGAACGGTCGATGTGCTAGTGCTATAGGGATTGTTAGAACATTAATTCATCTGTTGCGGAGATAATTTTTAGTGACTTCCTTTGAGACATGATTTTAAGACATGTTCGAAAGAGATTTCTCTGTTTCTGTCAATTTGGGGCCACCATATTTAAAAACTATATTTTCTAGAAGAGCACCAGTTCTTCCATGTTCTTCCTCCCACCCCCACCCACCGCTTTCCGTGGCCGGGTCACTTCCAAGCGCATCTCTTCCACCGGCGCAGCCTCATAGAGCTGCGGCAAACGTCTCACCAGTCGCGCTCCACCACCTGCACGGCGCGATGGTCCCCCGACGGTCACACGGGCCGAGCAGCGACTTCCGGGGGCGGAGTCTGCGCTGCGTCGGGGAGTCTTCGCTGCCCTGCCCTGCCGAAAGATGAGGTGCCGAAGATCTGGCGATCTAAGTAGACCGACCGAAGTAAAAGGCCGCAGCACCCTCAACTGGAAGTCTGGTCATCTAGCCTCCTTCCAGCCACATACGGCCGCATTTGCACGCACTGTCGAATTGGTGCGCCTTCGAAGAGCCAGTGCCAATTGCCATCCTTCCACTGGGCAATGTCCTCTCAGCACCCATGTGTTTCAGTGTTTCAGAGGACCCTGTTCAGACTAGGGAGCTGGACGGGCAAGCAAACAAAAATCGGCCTACAAGTCTCTGATTCACCTGCAGAACCCGCAGAATTTCGTAAGATTTAGCATCACAGAGTTGATCGCAAGTGATATCAACAGAGCTTCGACAGGTCAAACCTATACAGTAGCTAGGCTCAATTTTATGGATTCAAGTGTGCCCTATTACCCTATTCTGCTAACGTACTGCGTAAACCTCCCCAACAATGTAGACTCTTGATTAAGAACCCCCCATATGAAGAGGTCGTTCAATCCAGGCGTCTAGGCCCAAAGCCTTTCGCCTTTGGGCACACCGGGTTCCCGCGGCTGGGCTGCTCCCTTCGCAGGGAGGGTCCAGCGTCCACAGAGGTCTCAGGACCGACCCGCCTGAGACCTCGGTGGCAACTCGTGCCTTGGCGCGCCATGGTTGTGGGATTGGAGCGCTGGCATGTGGCCGTCGAGCGGATGATCGACGAGCCATGGAGAGGGAGAATCAAGAGCTTCTTCCAGGACCGCCGGGCAACGGCTCACCTGCTTAGGCCTGGTGGGAAGGTGGTCATTTCTGGAATGGTGGCCCTTGCGACCGAAGCTGCTCTCGAAGTCGAACCGTTTGAATTCAACCCAGGCCGAGGGTTCGTTGTGCCTTCACCGAAGGGTTCGAAGATCAGGGTGGCTGTACCGGAGCTGGGACGAAGAGCTGTGTTTCCTTCTGTGGGCGATCACATTACCTGTGTTGGAAGCCAGATTGTTGACAATCAGTGGGAGACTATTTCCTTGGGGGCTGACACGGTCATCGTGTTCCGACCTCAATTCAAGCCTACGGAACCGCTGAATGTTTTGCATCTTTTTGCTGGTGCTTATGGTGGTTGGACTCGTGCTGCTCATTGGCTGGCTGATGCTGTACCTGCCCTTCCAATTGCCCATGAGCTACATGTTGATCATGATGAACGCATCATGCAGGTCTGGAGCCGACAACATGGGGTGCCACACAGCACCGGGAGGACCCCTTCCACGCTTGCCAACATGAACCTGCAGACTGGTATTTGCACGGGAGTTGATGATACCTCCTTGCTCAATGCATGGCCACATCGATACAATAGTGTTACAAGTGCCTCTCCTCCTTGTATCTCCTGGTCGCAAGGAGGACGCCAGCAAGGACTCAATTGTAGCAGTGGCTATGCAATGATCGAAATGATCACGCTGGCCGAGATTCAGCAACCGCTTCTTCTTTTCTTGGAAGGAGCGGATTCAACTGTTTATCATGAGCACTTCCCCATTTTGGAAGCTTTGTTGAATCTTATAGGCTACCATAAAGTTTGGCAGCAGATTGTGCACCAACATCAGCTCTCGCATAACCATAGGTCTAGGTGGCTCGCAGTCTGGGCCCGCATTGATTTGGGCCTCCAACCTCATGAGATGGTTTTTGAGCTTCGTGCACCGCCCTTGGTTCCATGGAATGACGCCCTCAACACCTTTTGGGTGCCAGGATCCTTCAGTGACCAGCTCAGGTTGGATTCCGAAGCTTTGGGGATGTATGGTAACCCTGGGTTGCTTCCACCAGCAAAGAGAGTGAAAACCACCCTTCATGTGCCCCACTCGGTTTGTGCCTCTTTTCGGTACTACAGGGACAATCACTCTGCCGAGTGACGCTTCGTTTGCCTTCCATATACTTGGTAATGCTATTTCACAATCTCAGGCAACCCTTTGCTTGGCGGTTGGATTTGCTGCCTTGTTCGGCCTTGATGTCTCCCCGACCATGCTCGTCAGACAAGCGTGGAATGACAGACTCACCAGTAAGAATGCATTGGTTCAGGTCTTTGAAGACTGGCTAACGATCACACGAGTTCAGGACATTGCTGTATCCATGCCTTGTCGCTCCAATTTGGTGCCTTGTGAAGGACATGGAGTTCAGATTGTTCTTGTGCACGTGCCCACCCACCATGTGTGGAGCATTCGAGTGCCGAAAGCAGCTACTCTCGTCACGGTGTTCATTCTTGCCATGTTCACCAAAGGGATATGCCCTGATGCACTGCAGTTTCGCACCTTGGAAGGCCAGACCCTTCAGGACATCCCGGTCCTGGAGGCACTTGCTCTGACGTCGCAGGTTGAATGCCTCTTGTGGACCTTCCCGCTTCTCTGGATTCGACCTGCTAGTCCAGCGGAAGCAAATCTGGAGCGTGCTGACCCTCCTGCTGACATTTCTCCCACTGTGCCCTTTTCTCCTTGTGTCGAGGAGCCATTGACTCTTGTCTTGGAGACTGTACCACCGCAAGTTCCTTCCCAGGAACTCTTCCAGGAGATGCTTCATTTCTTGGACTTCAATGCCACGTGGAAAGACAATGAAAGTTCCAACAAGCAATTGGTCTCCCTTCTCTGGGAGAATACTCTTGGAGTTCTCACGCTCAAACTTGATGCCACAGTTCCAGCAGCTGACCTTCAAGAGCAGCTAGCCACACACTATGGCAGCAACCAATTTGCCATCTACCAGAGCCCATTTGCCGTTCCCAGGATTGCCCCAGGACCTCTCTTCACAGTGAGGCCACGCAATCACAGCAATGATGCTCTTGTCGTATTCCAGAAGTTGCAGACTGAAGTCTGGGTGCGAGCCCACATTGTGCACAAGACACTTCCCAAGACCACCCTGGTCACCACAACCCAGGGAGCATTCCGTATTGCTTACCACAACAATCAAGCTTGCTCGACTGAACAACTTCGTCTTGCGAATGGAGATTGGCTGTTGATTGAACCAGTGCCAATGACTGTTGTGGCAGGTGGACACCACAGATGGACTCGCAGCCCCGAGACTCTTCCACGAGGAGCCAACTTCACTGCTCGTGTCTTCTTCAGCATCAACACCCACGGCTGGGCAGCGTCCGATGAAATTCATGCTGCCATGATGTGGTTGCATACTCGCTTCCCGGAAACGATTGCAGAGTTCAACCTTTTGTGCTGGAGAACCAATGAGCAAGAGTTCAACGATGAGCTCTATGGAGAACCACGGTTTGCAGAGAGCGGACGAACAGTCATTGCTGTACTCGTGGACAACCACTGGGCTGCTGTTGAAGTCAACCGGATTGGTCGGCACACACAGGTTCATGTTTTTGGCCTTGGTGCTCAGTTTGCTCAGCGTGCTCTCCTCATGATGTGCCGATGCATTGATCTTGCTCCTCACAGGGTGCAACAGCACATCCACCCTGCTCAAGCTCCTGTGCATCTCTGTGGTTGGTTCCTGCTTCAGCGCTACTATGTTTTGTGTGGTGCTCTGCGTCAGCTTCCAGACTACTTTGATCTCTTCAATGCACTGCCTGCGTTCCGCCGAGCTGAAATTCGTGAAGCGTGGGAATCAGGACAGGAAGACTGGCGTCGTGCTGGAGCCAATGAAGACCTGGTCATTTTTGCCACCACTCTTCGTACCAACTTCCTTGTCAACCTGGCGGCGACAGCCACTGACACATCCTCCGCAGTCAACATACCGCTGGTTGCTGAGTTCACACCACAAACGGTCACTGCCGTTAGCACGACACCTGCTGAGCCCTCACCACCTGAAGACACGAACACGACAGCTGACACCCAGCAGCTGCAGCCGCCAGCACCCATCCAAGTTGTGGGCGTGGCACCTCCACCTGTGCAGCAGCACCATCCGCTCCACCGTATCCAGAGCCGCTTACTTGAGTGCCTTGTTCAGCCTGGCTGGCTTTCATCTGACCTTCTTGACCACACGCTGGATGTCCTCCGCTGGCAGTACTCTCATGTGTGCTTTTGCCCACCAGCTGTGTGGGATTCTGATCGTTGGAACCTGCGCTTCTTGGCTGACCTTGAATGCTTGCATGAAACTTTCAGCCAATTGTTTCTTTTCGTTCTGTGGAGGGAACATTGGATTTTGTGCGAGATTCACATGCATGCATGGGAAGTGTCCATTCAAACCATTGGGCCCCTTGATGCTGTGCCTGATTCACGCTACATTGTCGAAGCAGTGTGTCAATTGTTCAACATCCATGACCTTGTGCTCAATACCTCTGCTATGCACTTTGGCGCTGCTCCAGGTCTTTGTGGTTGGGCTTTACTCCACACACTCTTTCGACGCTTCCAATGTCAGATTCCTCCGCTGAGTCAGCCGTGGCGTGCTGCTCTTCGCGTGCACCCCTACCGTGAAATCGTTGCTCGAGTTCAAGCCGTAGAGACTGCCATGTGGGAAGCTAATGGAAACACCGACCTCCTGCACTTTGCGTCTTCGGCTGCATTGGACTTTCTAGTGAGAATCATCCAGAATAGATTTCCCACTGAAAGACGTGTTGGAGGGGCAATCTCTGAAGTTGATACTCCTGCCGCTGTGCACCACCAGCCATCCTCGGCGGGCAGCGTCATCTCCCAGCTGCGGGTTCAGCAAAGGCTCGAACTCTTTGACCGCCATCCTGGGTGGCTATATTCCGACACCGCTGATTATGTCTTGGACTTTCTTCGTGAAGCCGATCCGCACACGGTGTACCTTCCGCCCATGCAGTGGACTGAGCAAGGTGTTTCGACCTTCAATGAACTGTGCACTCCTCTGCCCATCTCTCAGAAAGCCATTGGGCTTTTGCTCTGGGACCAGCACTGGATTTTGTGCGAATTCCAATCCACTGTCTGTGCCAATTGGCTCTTCCTGACTGGCCCTCCTCAGCTTCGCCCTCTTGCTGTGCAGTGTGCGACTGATCTGTGTTGCCATCTAGGCGTCGAACCTGTGCCTCACGTTGTTTGTCGTGACTTTCAAGCTCATCCCAACTTGTGTGGATGGACTTTGCTTTGGCTGTGCTTTGAAAAAGTGGGCCTCCACGTTCACTACCCTGGCCCGCTCCAAGAGGCCTCCTTCCTTCGCAGCCTTCATCACCTTGACGTTCAAAGGGTATTGACCAACGCCACGACCGCCTGGCAGCAACCCAATATGCATCAAGCTGCCTTCTTTGCCATGCGTCTTTTG